TTATATTGACTGTTTCCTAGTATGATTTGATTGTTGATTGTACCCTATGACTATCATTAAGTGTTGTACCTTATGATTCTTGATTCTTAGCGAATGTATCTTTTCTTTATGTATACTGAGAGTATTTTCAGCAAGACAAATTCCTTGTGTGTCCAATCACACTTGGCCAATAAAGTATTCTATTCTATTCTATTCTATTCTATTCTATTCTATTCTATTCTATTCTATTCTATTCTATTTGAACCAGACCATGGGTATCTGAGATCTTAACTCTTTGATGAGATAGTGTAATGTTAAGAGCACTAGAAGTTCATTGATTGGCTAAGAGATGCTAGCAGCAATGATTGGTGGCTTCCCCTGTTTGTAATTACTGAATGAATCAGACTGTTGGCCAGTCAGATACTAATTTGAGTCCTTGAAGTATATTGTTAAGCAAATGAAGAAACGTTAGGAAAGTACTTGAATGCATTCTTCCCATTTTAGTACATCAGTCCCCAGAAGGGGGAATGTAGAATCTTGAAATTGGCCCGTGAATTAATACCCTTTCAATTTCCTGATAGTTTTGGCTGTGATCATGGGAAACTGTCATATGGGCAGAAGAAAGTAAAGCAGAGCAGAGGGCACTTTCTACATTCTGAAAAAAATATTTCTCTGGAAGAAGCACTTGAACCTAAATCTCTGGGGAGCTGACTCAAGGAGCATTGTATGCCACTCACAGTCGGGATGCTAATAAAAGATGGCCCTTTTCATTCATGATCAAGCTGCTGTATTAAGTAAGAAGAAGTGCTGTGGGAAAGTTGTTTGTGAACTTTATGTGGAATAAAAATGCTTTTCATTATTTAGAAGTTTCCTTTTCCATTTCTAACCATTCAAACTAAGCATGGCCATTTTTAGATTAGTAATTGGAGAAGCTGCTTTTTGTTTTCTCATTGGAATCTGCATCCTGTGTTATTATAGCTTCCCAAGGTTGGAGTGCAAAGTATTAAAGCTGAAAGGAAGAGACACATATATAAATGGGGCAAGGGGGAGTGGGCAAATTTGATAACACATTGACAGGTACAATTTAAAAAAAGAATTAGGATTAATCTTTCCTGTTCTGTTGTTAAAAATGTATTCTATTAATGTTGCTCCTTTGTTGTCAGAAGTAAATTGTACTGAGTTCAAAAGCAAAATATATAGATTTTAGTGTCAGTTCTCAATGTCTACTGGTGAGTTATTACTGAATAACTCACTTATTCTTGAGCAATGGGTTTTGGAATAAATATTGTATCATTGTCATGGCACATTTATAATTGCCTTGCTCATTTCAATGTGGTAAAAATATATAGAATACCCACTGACCAAAACAGGAGATTTAATGACAACATTCATCAATTCTTTGATGCGAAGAATTTCCTACAAAGAACAGAACAAAAATATTTACTTAATATATTTAGATGGGCTAAGTAATAATGGAAATTATTAATTAAAACCTGTTACAATATAAATTTGAAAGGAGTCATGTCTGTTACTAGCTATAGCAGTAGAACTTAAAATATCTTTGGTATCTTAAAAAAAAACAAGATATTTATTGATGGGCCATTGGCTTCATTTATTATTTATTAAAAAATAATTATAATTATTGCTACCCAATTCACTCAATTATATTGCCACCCAATTCCGAGCAACTTACAAAAATAAAACCCCAATACAAAAACCAAAAACCCCTAATCCCCTTAGATAAAGATTTGTTCAGTTGGGTGCATAAAGAGAAAATATTTTCAGATGCAGATTTGACATTCTCATATACCAAGGGAGATAAATATAAATATATAAAAGCATCATTTAACACTGTTCATTTATATGTCCATATAATATTTAAAGCTTTAAAAAATGTTTGGAAAGCTTCATTGCTTAAGTGCTCATGAAATAAGTGTAAAGTACTCACATTTTTTCTTCCTGAACATCATATAAAGATTATAACCCAATTCTATTAATAGTTTGTGGATGTTGAGAGCCATAGTTTCTAAGATAGAGATGACAGTTATGTCAACAATACTAATCATCTAGCTTCAAAGCTAAGTAGTACAGGGCAGAAAAATTCATTAAACAATAGGAAGACTAAGAGAAAGAATTATTGGAATTAAATTATAGTGTGTATAAAAAGAGAATTGTACCTCCATCTTGACAAAGGACAGTGAATTGTTTAAGTGTTTTCTTGTAGTATGCAAATAAAAATTCTTAGCTAGACATGCCATAAAGGCTGAGTCTGGGCCAAGAGCCCAGTTAAGCCATACTGACTGAAGCATCCAGGAAATTCTAGGAAGACATACCAGTCAGCCTAACATGCAATATGTGTGCCAGTTTTAAATACTAGCTAAGTGTTAAATGAGAACAGTATAAAATAATTACATGGATGTTTTTATTTGCGTGAAGTTATATTCCGGAATTTTTAGGTCAGGTTATTCCTTCTGCTGTATTCCTTCCAGAAAATATGAGGAGAAAAAGCAGCTTGTTAAATCACTTCCTTTCATTAAAACAAAAGCTCCCAATTTCAGTCTACACAAGAATCAGATCAATGGTTGTATCCTAAAAATAGATGAGATTAAAACAGGTCTTGGTCCTTAAGTGGACATAAGGCTTATTTGCAAGTTGGAAGTATTATTTGCTCCTGAATTCATTACCATGATAATAGGAGTGCTCTGGAGGCCCAGAAGAGATGCTAATGACCTGCATGTGGTTCTAAGGCTACACTGTTTCTATCCTGATCTAAAGTCAATTTGGCTGCCTGAAGATGATTTCCCCAAACTTGATGGGATTTAATCACCAATTGCAACAATCATGGAATTGGGTTTTTCCTAACAAAATATCTATCTTTATTGAGTTCTTTTAACAACATATATTTCTTCCATGTAAATATAGTATAAGCTACATTTTATTTATTTATTTATTTATTTTGTCAAGCGATTATAAGGTAACAGGTATAAGTATAAAAAAAGTTATGAATACATGCAATGGATACATATAAGAAAAATAAAAAGAAACAATAGGACAGGGACGGTAGACACGTTGTTGCGCTTTTACACACCCCCTACAGACCTCTTAGGAAAGGGGTGAGATCAATAGTAGAAAGTCTAAGGTTAAAGTTTTTGGGGTTTGGGGAAGTCAGGTAGAGTATTCCAGACATTGACCACTCTGTTGCTGAAGTCGCATTTCCTGCAATCAGGTTTGGTGCGGTTTACCTTGAGTTTGTATATATTGTGTGCTCTTGTATTGTTATGGTTGAAGCTGAAGTATTCATTGACAGGTAGGACATTGCAATATATAATTTTATGTACTATACTTAGATGGGACCGAAGGCGGCGTAGTTCTAGGTTTTCTAGGTCTAGAATTTCAAGTCTGGTGGCATAAGGTATTCTGCAACAAGTAGAGGAGTGGAGAACTCTTCTTGTGAAATATTTCTGGACTTTCTCAACTGTGTTAATATCAGATACATAATGCAGGTTCCAGACTGATGAGCTGTATTCAAGTATTGGTCTAGGAAATGTTTTGTATGCTCTAGTTAGTAGTGTGATATTACCAGACAAAAAGCTACACAGGATTAGGTTAACAACTCTTAATGCCTTTTTGGCCATGTAGTTACAGTGGGCTCTAGCATTTAGATCATTAGAGATGAGTACTCGAAGGTCCTTGATAGAGTTTGGATCATCAAGAAGGTCTTGACTATTCAGCTTGTATTTTATTTTCTGATTTTTTTTTGCCAGTATGTAAGACAGAGCATTTATTTGTTGAGATTTGAAGTTGCCATTTGTTTGACCATTCTGATACATAGTCGAGGTCTTTTTGAAGGGTAGCAGTATTGTCTGTGGTATTGAATAGCTTTACATTGTCAGCGAAGAGAACGCAGTTGCTCTTAATATGATCACAGAGGTCATTTATGTAGAGTATGAAAAGAGTTGGTCCTAGAACACTGCCTTGGGGGACACCACTGTTGATAGGACTCTCGCAATTTTGACCATTTGTTGTCTGTTTGACAGGAATGCTTCTATCCAGTTATGCAGTTGTCCAGAGATACCATAAGATTTTAATTTTAGGAGTAGCTTGTCTATGTACTATATACTGTAATTATATAGTATAAGTATAGTATAAGTATAAATATAATATATAATCCTCCCCTTTCTAAAAAAAATTGCTTCTTGGTGCTCTAATCTATGAATCATTTCCCAGCCCCCCATTCTATCCCCACTCCAATTTTCATTGTCTTTATTATTTCTTACACTTTTTTTCTTTTTACAACCCTTTATTTGGGGTGGAGTTATGGCGACTGAATGGAGCCGAGTCCTTCCTGATGCCTATGCAGAATTTGCGGCAGATATTTTCTCTTTGCGCCCTGAGAAAAAAACACCTGCTGCTACCTAGGACTAAACTCTCAACCTTCCGAGTGGGAGGCGAGCACCTTCACCTCCAGACCACCGCATTGCTCTTATTTCTTATTCTAATAGCTATTAAAAATCTATCTCAATATCCTAGACATTTTTTTTCAGTACACTTCCGAAGATAGCTGCTCGATAAAAACAATTTGCCATTAGTTACATTTGAGCCAAATAGCATACTTTAGGCAATAATAATTGTTCTCATTATTTATATAACCTTTCTAGGGAAATAAATGAATGGCAAAGATCTTTTAGAAAATTTCTCAACAGAGTAATCCAAAATTAGGATGTGATTTAATATTATTTTTTTCTTGCATCTTTAGCAAAGATGTATAAATAATAAAGTTGGTGTTATGTGTTCTATAACTATTTCAGAAGTTTTTGCATGACAATTAATTAAATTAAAATGTTTGATTAATAATAATCCGTAGATGTGCAGTTATACTTTATGATAATGATTTCTGATTAAGTGTTGAGTCTTTCTACATTGGAAATGGTGCTGTCCTATTAAGTTGTGTTCTGATAAGTGTAATTGCATTTTTTTACAAGAGTTCCTTATGGAAACCATTATGTCTCTTATTTAAGCAGAAAAGAGGAGCAGAATTAAACTAGAAAGTGCACAGACAGTTACAGCCAATAAAACGTTTCCTCCAATCCTCCTGAAAGGCCTAAGTGATCTCAAGGTAATGGATGGGAGCCAAGTGATTATGACAGTAGAGGTTTCAGGTAAATATTTGTGTTTTCTAGTGGGAAAACTTGGGAAAAAGGCAATATAGAAATAGAACTAAATAAGAAATAAGAAATTGCTCATAATTTTAACAAGGGTATTCTGTTTTGTAATTGAGCAGTTTTTTGCCTTTGGTTCATGTTTACTGCCTTTTTTCTTTTTTTAACTTTTTATCATTAGAGAAGCCAGGGAAACCAGTAGAATCTAAGGTAAATAGATGGCTCTACTGTCATTGTAGAATAAAGAAGTGCCTTCTTTTTTTGGAATATGCTTATGTTAACTTTAACATGTTAATTATATTATATGATTTTTGTGCATTTCTTTGGGCTTTGTTGTAGCTTGTCCAGACCCTGTTTGGGTTAGGCTATAAAACTAGTACAAACAAATAAATAGAACCCTTTATCTAGATCTATGGAAGAGTGAGAAATGATTTGTGAAAACTCAGTTTTTCTATTAAATAATAGGATTAAATGGGGTGCAAAACAGTAAAACACACAATGAGAAAAGTGCCAAGAGCACATGTGAAGAAACTATTATTTCTATTTTTTGCAAAAGACATTTTCAGAAGATTAGAAAAAAGAATGGGGTAGGACAGTTCCATTAATTCTGGAACATAATATGTATGTTTGAACACATGTTTTGCTTTTGATAGGAAGCCATAATATAATAGTTGATCAGACACAGGTGCATTGATGTGACTAAAGCCAAAGAATTGGTCTGTGTGTGCATGTATGTATGTGCAGATAAGAATTCACTAATATTCTATAATGTTCTATATTATATCCCTGTATTTTACTGAGAATAGGGCTTTTTAATATTGTTATGGCAGCAGGAAGTCCATGTGAGTTTCTTGTTCTGCCTTATCTTATAGTTGCAGCTGGCCTAATAGAATAGTTCATGACTTCCCCTGCTGCCTTTGTTTTATCTCAAAGACTTCTGTTTTATTTGTGGCTCAGCTAATCCACCTCCCGAAATAATTTGGCTTCACAATGGTAAAGAAATCCAGGAAACAGAGGATTTTCACTTTGAGAAGAAAGGCAATGTGTATCGCCTCTGTATCCAAGAGGTATTTCCTGAGGACACAGGAGAATACACCTGTGAGGCCTGGAATGACTTGGGAGGAATTCATACTGAAGCAACCCTGACTGTACAAGGTAAAGATTTTATATCTATATGCCGACAGGTATGCACGCACGCTCACAGACAGACAGACAGACAGACAGACACACACACACACACACACACACACACACACTTACTGCATTGTTTAACAGCTACACAGGAAAGTATTCAAAAAGTTGAGAACCTCCCTGTCTCTCTGAAACTCCATAGTTTCCCTTTAGATACAATTTTAATGGATATTGCCATTCTGCTTCACTCGGAAAAATGTAGTCTAATTTCTATAACCAGAAAAGAAAGTATTAAATGAGAATATATAGATTTATAAAAAGTTGTGATGTGTTTCTGTAGTGTAGAGGGTAGGAGCTTAGGGATGTGACTACTTGACTGAATAGTTAGTTCAGAAACTTGATTATGAATATAACATTTTAAGTTCAAGTTACACTTAGTATATTCTATCTATTGTTTTCTTATTTATGGGTGAAACTATATATGTGCTTGTGTGTGTGTGTATAATTATAAGCAGTTACATTTATTTGTTCAAGCACCTGATGGAATGGAATATTTAAAGATAGAAATTATGTATATTAATTACCAGAATAGCAATAATATACTGCCATGTGCTTAATGACCTAATTTAGACATTTCATGTATTTAGAAAACTACAGGCCATAAAATAATAGCTTTGAGTAATCTAAACAAGCAAGGAGGGAGGAAGCCCATATGTTGCATGCATGGACACAGACATAGTGTCTGTCAGCAATTCCAGAAACCAAATATGTCTTCTCCCAGAATTGCATCATAGCAGTTCTGGGAAAAGTTGCTGCTGCTGCCACTTTAAAGGGTTACCAGAGGGTGCTGTACAGCTGACCCCTGAAGCATCATTTTACTCTTCAGATCTGAAGTAATGCATGGGCCTATTCATGATGTAGCACTTCCAAAAAGAGACTTAAGGTTACAATAGCTAAGGCCATGGCACTAAAGCTAAAGGAAGTGCAGCCCAGCCCTTGTGAGTATAGTGAATGATGGCAGTGAATTTTTGTGAAGAGAGTAAAGCAAAACACATAATGAAAGCAAATGTTATTTAGCCAAAATGAGACACCCAGCTGCATGAATATGCTTATGGGAATATGAAAAGGGTAAACTTATACACAAATGCTTTATTCGAGCATGCATCCATGGATATTACATATTAGGGCAGGGATGGAAAATTTCTATTGAATTATTTTATCAAGGCCCAAATTCTTTTAGGAATACTCTACTGTGGCTCACATGCATGGGAGTGGAGTTCCAAAGCAAAGTGAATGAAGCCATTCCCTTTCTTCCCACTCTCCCTCATTTTCTTCTATAGCCCATTTCTCAGTTTCTCTACTTCTGGCTGCACAGTCTCCTTGCAGAGAATATTGATGGAGTAAATAATAATGAAACAGTGAAGATAGTTTATGGAACATACCCCAAGATTAGCAGTAGATGAGAAAGGGTTAATTATTAAATTCTTGCATAAACATTCTTATATGTATATAATTATCTGCAAATGGGTTATGATTAAATATGTTGTGTAAAGGTTCAGAGCTTGATAATGACATTGTACACTGTTTTTTCCCCACCTATTATCCTCAGATATAATAGACAAATCCCAGTCTTCAGTCCATACAGGTATAGAATTCTAATCTAATGCATCTGGAGGGCACTAGGTTAAAGCAGGCTGTTCTCGGGTTTTGAAAAATTTGCATTTTTGGGGATTTATTACTAAGACTATAAAAATAGCAAATGAACAGCTACAAAGTTAACTGTCTTCTCCTGAGATAATTCTATACAAGGGAATAACTCTCAAGTTGAGATCCCTTGTGTCTTCATTCTAGAGTATGTGAAGCAATCTCAATTTTATTTAATAATATATTATTGTAAATTTCACATCAGAATTTTAGGATGCCAGGTACTGATTTTTTTTGGACATTTCATGGCTTCATTTTTCATTTGTCTAGATATTTAAAACAACCGTGGACTATATTTATCTTTCTTCCATTTATTTACTTAAACATTCTCTCCAGCCCACAGCAGACCATTTTTTTTTAAAGAAATACACAAAGTACCATCTGGGTTGTTGCTTTTTGTTTTAAAGACTTCAGATTTTTGGAAGCAAAAGAAACATGGAGATCCTCCGGGAAACTTCTTATAAAGTCAAACACATCTGAAATGACTGAGCTACCATCTCTTTACCTAGACACAATAATGTGTTCGCTCATCTTTTTTCCCCCAAAACGTTTCCCTCTGTATTTATAGATCACCTTGTTTGTTTGGTTCCCCCCCCTTTTTTTTCTTTGTAATCATATTAGACATGCCGTCGCTGTAGCTATTATGGAAACTTTTGTTACAGCAAACACTTAACTATTCAGATGGAAATTATTTGAGTATTGTTAGCTTCCTCAGGAAAAGGGATGGATGGATATGTATATAACATGCAAGTTTTCTGCATGTTGTGCAAAGTGACTTATGATAAAGTCTGAATTTAAACTTTTACTAATCTGAAGAATGACCTATTAACTTGTGATGAAAAAAAAGTGAAAGAAAACTTAAAAGGAAGTGACATGATCCCTTATTTCAGAACATAGCATTTTGTAAGTTTGTTTGCACTTTCACAAATGGCTGCTGTGGTAAGCATGGCCATTGAGGAAAGTATCCTCCTTATGCTATATAGAGAATTGCTAAAGATTATTACCTCTGCTGCTGCACTAGCCAGAATATTGTGAGTAGGTTCTCAATTCAGAATATGCATCCAAAGCAAAATATCCATAAAATGGTTTGTCAGAAGCTAAATGAAATTCAGCACACATGATTCCACCAGTGCTATTAAATTTTCTCCCTGCCCATCTTAACATTTTTTTTCTTTGTGTTCCAGAACCTCAGGATGGTATTCAGCCATGGTTTATTAGCAAACCACAGTCAGTGAGAGCAGTAGTGGGGCAGAACGTTATTATTTCCTGTGCCATTGCTGGAGATCCATTCCCCACAGTTCATTGGTTCAAAGATGGAGAGGAACTAACAACAGAAGCAGGCTATGAATTCCTACAAAATGAAGACATCTTTACCTTGATTATAAGGAATATTGAACCTTGTCATGCTGGCCAGTATGAAATACAACTCAGGTATGTTGAGGGAAGTATGTATTTATAGGAAGAGTAGCTTTTTCAGTTGTCTAAACATGAATAAGGCATTTTATTTCTATTGGGCTTTGCTTTCAAGAAAGTGTTCATTATATATTTTGCCAGTGGGTTCCTAGGATATAAATGCCTACATTAGTTGCCATATGGATTTCATATTAAACTATTGAAACAGTCAATATTCTCCTCACTACAAGCAGTTGCTCTCCTGGCCTATTCTTAGTTTCTTTATTAATTTGCTTACCTCTAATAATTTTTTTAACATTCAATCTGCAATTCACATGTGATCCTGTGTGTTTATTTGTTCTTTCTTTTCTCATATAAGGGTCAGTTAGAATCAAAGTCTTATATTAAAATGAGTGCTTTCATTTTATGCAACTCAAATCTTGAAAGAAACAGGCACACCTAGTGGGTTCTAGAGTCAAGGTCCCACAACCAAGAAATCCTTCACTCAGGAGAATGCTTCGAAACATTGTCCATTGGAAGCAATTGTGAGGCACAAAACATCATATTTGAACAAAACTTTGCATGGTAGAAGTATGGTCTACTTGTTATGAATGAACACAATTTGTTCAGAAATATTTTTTTGAATGTTTTGGTTATTCTACATTTTTGCTAGAACAACCCTGGTATTTCTGCCATGGGAACAGTGGGATTTAGGATTTGAGTTGCAAAAAATCTGGACCAGCTAAAAGTCATACAGGAGTAATCTGTTTGCTACCCGCTCACTGATTGGCTGGAGATCTGCAAAGTAACCTTACCTCTCACTTACCTGGAACTTGGAGGTGTTGAAACTGAAAGGAATGGGAACACAGAAGTGCCTTACCAAGTCTTGCAGAGAGCCAGGAATGTTAGTCAACTTTCTCCCTCTTCCCCAGTATTTAAATGGTTACTTTCCCCCCCTCTCCCCACTGGTTGTACACACAAAAACTTCTTAATCTGATAAATTAAAACGATACCTTTTAATTTGATAAAACAAGCATTAGTGAAAGAAAAGCAAAAGAGGGATTTCTCCCCCAACACACACACACACACACACACACACACACACACACACACAGGGAGGGAGGGAGAGAAGAAGAGCCCTCCCTGGCTACTCTCATTTGCATCTGAAATGGACATTCTCAGTAGCATTCAGAATAAAAGAATAGCCAGGAGTCATAATTCATGCATATATCCTTGCTCAGCAAAACCTCTTTTGTTTTCAGGCTTAAAGCACTACAGTCCAAAATTGTAAGAAACATGTCAAATCAACTAGTTAAAACTAGCTTTTATAAGCCATACTATGGATTTCATCCACAGCGTGCTCTCAGTTAATACATATTTAAGCTAAATAGCCAACCATAGAGAGTATTTTTATATTCTTAAGTGCACTTTGAAGTCTCCATAAACAAAAAGGGCATGAGAGAATGTAGGGGGCAGAATGGGCAGACACCAAATTTAAAAAAAAAGAAAGAAAACCAAGAGCCAAAATTACTCTTTGCTTTTCAAATGGACTCAAAGTCAAAAACTGCAAAATGAGTTGACCAGGTTAAATAAGCCCACTAATATAGACATTTTGAAAAGCAGTCAAGTCAAATTCTGTTGATGATGGCTTGCTGAGTTTAGCTGCTCATGTATCGTACTCACTCTTTTGTCCTGTTTTATGGAGCCTGGAGGGTGCCTTTGAGGATGAAGATACTTTATACTGTATATAAAGACTAACAGTATGCCATATTTGGATCTGTAGATCTGGCATAAGTACTCTTGCTGCATCATTTGGCTTCTTAATGAAGCTGATGTTTTTCCTGGCTCCCATGGTGGGCTACTTTGGGTCAGGAAATATGCAGTTGATAAGGAAAGCAGTGGAAGAAATCCCCTCATTCTCATCACTGTCCCATCAGTGCACATTGTGAGAAAGGAAAGAGTGGTGCACACTCAGTTGAACCAAATGTTTGAAGACCACATGGATGTAAAGTTAGGACCTGATGCTCTTAGCAATTCTGACACATCTTCCTGCATCACTGAAAGTTAAGTTAATTGAGCTGAAGAGTTTGGAGAGCCAAACTTTTTGGTGATTACCAGATAAAACCTGGCAATCAGAGGAAATCAGATACAAATGGTGGTGAAATTCCGATCTTCCATCATATTGGATGGCTGATTTTCTAAAATCATTAATTGCATGATTGCACTTATCAAGTTCCATACATTCTACCATTTGTACAATCAATCTCCCCCCTCACTCTAGTGTAACTTCCTACATCAGCATAATCACTCCATGTATGGGATGAAATGAACTGCAATTCATAAAAGTCCCTGCCTTTTAATAAAAGGTGCTACCAGTATCCTGACTTTTTTGCCACCAGAAAGTAACATGGTGGCTCTCTTCCTATGTATCCTTTTATCATAAAAGCTAAAAACCCAATGAAACATCTAACATGCTGCGACCGAGAACAATTGTGTTATGAACAGAAGATGTCTCTATTCAGGTTGCTTCTAGAGCGAAACATCTGAACAATATGTTTAAGTCCAGTCTAGTCCCCTGTGAAATTAGCTGGTCGGTACCAGTTGAGAGTTTGGATCCCCAAACTCTTCAGCTCATTTTTTATTTATTTATTTATTTATTTATTTATTTATTTACTTATGTTTATTTTATTTTTGTCAAAAGCTTACAATATAACAGAAACAAGAATAAACATAAGGTGTTTTTTTTTTTAAGTTTTATTTGGGTTTTCACAAAAACAAAATACAAATAAAACATCTTTTTTGAAAATAGCATGGTCCCAGGTTATCACTTCTTCATACAGACATCAAACTCAATTTCATGCTTATTTTTATATTCTATTCCATATCTTATTACCGTTTTATATTTTCTACATAGTTTTTCCCCTCTTTTAATTTTCTCAACTTTATTTTAATTATCTCATCTCAATCAAATCATTATATTTATACTTTTGTCTGTCCTGTTTCAATTTCATATTATCTTTTCTTATTAAACAATTTTTTCCCTGTAGTTACCAATTGGAGTATGACACCTTTATATCTTTTAATTTTATCCATTCAAACTCTTATTTAACTTCAATGTATACCTTTAAGATTATAGCATTCAATATAATACATAACTTCCAATTGAATTCTGCTTGGTACATTCTTAAAATACACTCTATATTCTTAGAGTCACTTGGATTTATACTAGTCCAGAAAGGGTTGGAGCTGAAAGAAAGTAGGATGTAAGAATACCTTCAAGCTATGTATTTATTTTATTGGGGGCCAATGGTGTAGTGGTTAAGGCATCAGGCTAAAAATCAGACCACCATAAATTCTAGCACTGCCTTAGGCACAAAGCCTGTTGGGTGACCTTGGGCCAGTTTCTTTCCCTCAGCCATAGGAAGGAGGCAATGGCAAACCACCTCTGAAAAACCTTGCCAAGGGATTTGTGAATGAACATGGGGAAAAGGCAGCTGAGGACAGTTTGTTGTCTCATCTGCCAAATATATAACAATGCATTGTGTTAAATAGACTTCCACTCAGGTATCTTGTACAATATTCTTACAAGGAGCCTTATCAAGCATTTATAAGGTTACATTGCAATTATCTGTAGAGTTTGAATTTAGATCGTTTTAAAAAATTACACTTTAAAAATATGAAATGTTTTAAGTAACTTAAAAAAAAACCTTTTAACCAAGACTAATCAGTTACAAAACTGTATTATCTGGTATGGTGTTAAAAATATAGTTGCATATCTTTTTACTGATAATATTATTACATACTATTTAATGCACTGAGATGTATTCCCTTATTTGGGTAATTATTTTTATTTTGTTTAACCTACATGGCTGTTTTGGTCTGGGATCACATGCTACCTTTTTTATTTGATTAGAAAAATGTTCAGATTGGGAAAAAAAATCACATTTTTTCCATCTTTGAATGGAACATTAAAAGTGTTCCACTATATTTGGTAGGCTTTACTCTAGAATAAGGGTGCCTGTTTTTGCAAACTTCAGAGTAATCTTTAAATTTTACTCTTCACAGTTATGTGTTCTCTTTATTGACGTTAATATTCAAATAATTGTTAATTCTGCTGTTGTTACCGTGTTTCTCACAAAATAAGGCCAGGCCTTTTTTTTTTTTTTTGACCCCTGAAAAAACGGCTAGGCCGTCTTTTCGGGGGTGACTTAATTTCCTCCCCACCTAGAGCGACCCATGTGCACGTACTTCTCCACGAGGCCACTTCTATCAGCCGACGAAAGCTCCCTGAAGGCAGAGTCCCCAGCCGCTTTGGGGCGAGGGTGGCTGCCCGTGTCCCCTTGCCATTAGGCAGTGTCTTTTGGGTGATGGAAGCTCCCCGATGGCGAGGGGACACGGGCAGCCACGCCTCGCCCCGAAGCAGCTGGGGACTCTGCCTTTGGGGAGCTTTCGTCGGCTGATAGAAGTGGCCTCGTGGAGAGGGGATTGTGCATGGGCACTCGCCCCGAGGCAACTTCTACCAGCAGATCGAAGCGGCTGGTGACTCTGCCTTCAGGAAGCTTCTATCAGCTGATGTTCTATCAGTAGTAGATCGGGGTATTCTAGCCTAGGCTACCTGCAGGGCACTCCTAAAGGCAAGTTTTCTCCCCCCCCACCCCCCACCCTTCCCCCCCCATTTCTCTTCACCTCATGTAGTTCTAACGAACGATGTGAGAAATGGCAGGGAAACGCATGGTTTAAATAGGCCTAAATTTTGGGGGTGGGGCTTAATTTCACCTCATGCCTAGAAATCATGCTGGGCCTTCCTATTGGTGGAGGCCGTATTGTTGTAGAAACACGGTACTAGTTATGATAAATGGGATCATAGTTTATCCTTTGATGCCAGGGAGTTTGTGTGTAGTGAGCTTCTGTGTTTGGGTGAGTTTCTCACCCAAAGTCACTTATGTGAGATGTATGGGTATATAAATTATAAATATAAAGAGATAAGGTTATTTTTATATTTGATGTTTATTTTGAATAAAAATGAGATTGTGTGGGCAAGAGGCTTTTACTGTGCTTGTGGTTTAAACATAAAATACAGATGTATGGATTGATATCAGTATGTTTCAAATTGATTATACCTTCAAAGTTGTGGGTTTAAGCATCATAAGAAATGAAAGCAGTTCCTCCTGGGAAGAAGGTAGGACCAGCAGGCTCTACCTTACAGTCCTTAGCGGTTCTTATGACTAATATGAAAAGATATTTTTAGATTATATGGGTATTAGACACCTATATTACTACTTTGCTTAATATTTACCATGTAGTTGATGGACGCTGCTAGCCACCAGTTTGTATAATTGTAACATTGCTTAGTTTTAAGGATCAATTTCTTGTGGATCCCTCTTTTGCAATATGCTCACAGAACTTTTTCATTGCAAGCACAGCTACTTCACTTGTAATATATGATTGTCCTAGTACAGGGGTGTCAAACTCAATGCCTGTGGAACAGATCCAGCCCATGGGGTGCTTAAATCTGGCCTATAGGGCTGGCCTGGAAATATCAAAGGACCGGTCCACGATGCCTCTCCCGGCCAAAAACGGGCTACACCTCAGCATCCGCAACACCCATTTTTGCCGGCAGGATGCTGCAGGAAGCGTCCGTCCTGTCTCCTCCTCCCCCTCTCCCTGCCTCCCCACCCCCGGCCTGCAGAGGAGAACTACAATGCTGATCTGGCCCTCGAAGAAATCCAGTTTGACACCCCTGTCCTAGTAGATTGGTTAATCTGTCTGTTTTCTGTATTTTCACCCACAGGATTCATTGGTCTACAATACATTGTGCTAAGATATAAAGTTGTTTGTTTGGCTTGATTTTGGTGTCTTTTCTGAATCTAGATATTGCTATTTGTGAGTCACCATTAGCAATTTGCAGTGCTGCACGTACAAAGCTGCTTGTGGTTTATTCAAACAATGATTAAACTCCCTATGGTTAGCATAAGTATGTGGATCTCTTTGTGGCAGCTGATATGTAACAAAAGCTTGAATCAAAGTTAAAAGCCACAGCTTCAAAGTTTAAGAATAGGGATAATTGTGGGATAATTGTTGATTACTAAACTTGATAATTAGTTATTGCTGGGCATCTCGTGTTTTCAAAACTTCATAACATGAAGCAATTCTTTTTTAAAAAATAAAACTTAGTGCTGTGTGTGTCAACTGTGCTAAACCCTCTCAGAATAAAGTAATTAATGTAACTAGTACCAATTAATACCTGCTTCACAACAGCTTTTCTCCCAATATTGCAATAAATACCTATGGGATAAAAATGATGAGAAGTCTTTTTATTAAGAGTGTAAAGAGTGTTGGATCCTTTTTTTAGGGCTAAAGGCTAAGTTCTCTTGGACAATGAAGTAGTTATGTGGAGTTCAATTTTGTCCCAAACCCCAGATGGACAAATTATACATTTTTTCTTCCTTTCTGTCTCTCATCTATTGATTACCCTATTGATAATTTCATTCTCAAATTAAGCTAAGGTTAATCTACAAGTAGTTATATTTTTAGTTTTATTGTTTTTATTCACATTTATATAAGCTTGCACCACCTGTCTTCCAGCATGCAAACTCTGGTAGCATTCAGTTTGAAATAAGTAAATTTCATATAAGTAAATTTCTCATTCCTAGTTTAGAAATTATGCTCTTAATAGTATGGATCAAGCAAACTATAGTTTATTCAGTCATGTTAAGATTTTTTTTTTTAGCCTTGTATTTTATTTTGACAAGGTTGTTGAAGTATAGCAAGCCTGAAAGTAGAACCGGCATTTCTCTTAAACAATTTTTAAAAACCACTTTTAGATCTAGTTTGGGATAGCAAAATCTTGAAAATCCATCTGATATACTGTCTACCTCTTCTTCAGCAGTTGGCAGAGAAAGCCCTTTTTTTTTCATAAAATGGCAAGCTGCTTAGGATGTGGTAGCAATGTTTACACAATCTGAATTACATTCCTCCCCCCTCTTTTTTTTTTTTTTTTACATCTCTCGGGGAGATGAACCATTTGAAGATGTATCTGCTGTGAAGCATAACACGGTACTGAGGGCGGGCGGGAAGAGGGGAAAGTATTTTAATGACTTTAATGGGAGTCATTTTCTGCAGGCATCTCTGGCATTCTTCTGCAAAAGGAAGAATAAGGGCTCAGCACCATATATGGTGACACTTTTATTATTATTTTTAAATATAAACATGCACAGGCTGAAACAATCTGTGAGGGTTGATTATACTGTTTGATGGGGGAGGGAAAAGGAGGAGCAGGGAAAGGAGACCCTATTTTTAATGTCTCAGTGCAAGGAAAGTTGAAAGCTTGGTCTTGTATAAACAAAGACTGGGGCAAGAATTAGAAAGAGTGTAGATGCTGTAAAGCGACTCTTTTCCTTCCCACCCAACCCCTTCGGCTAATTTTCTTCAAGTTACTTGTTTAGAGGTATATTCTCTTCTGATTTCCACCTGTGGCTTTATTTTTAGGAGAAAAGTTTGGAGTGGGTGGGATGAGGAATAATGTTTCTTTCTGGCCAATGATGAAGTAACTATCTACTACTGGAATGCTTGGCTGGGGAACAAAAAGAAATCAGCATACTGCAGGATTGATCTCTTCTGTGTACTATCTAACAGAGAGAAAAAAATTGTTTTTTGGCTGAGTCTCACTTTGTTGTACTTTTTCAGAAACCCAGTTGGAGAATGCAACTGTCAGGTATCTTTGACGCTGGGAGAAAATTCATTTTCCAAAGAAGGAACGCAAAAAAAGTGAGTACAGTTCCCAGGGACTTATGTGGGTGGGTTTTATTTTTTGCTCAGCTAATTCTCTTTCCTTGTAGACTTGGGTTGGCTGCTGTTCAATCTAATCCCCAAATGTGACCCAACAAGCTGTTTTTATCATACAGCTGACAATGTGGAGCACTTTTTAAAAAATTTAGTTCCCTTATATGGTTCCTGAAGTCATCATTGATGCAATAAACTATTCCTCTAATCAGCCTTCCCTTCTATAAACATATTTTGTCCTTTCTCTGAGGGGGTGATTCCTGAATTCATTAAACCAGCTCTTTGCTCCCCCTCTTTCTCTTTTCCCGCCCCTTCCTCTCTCCCTCTCAAACTCTTCTCTGCTTACAGTGGGAGGCAGAAAGTACGACAAGAGGCTGATTGTGGAGAGGATGCACTGACATTCAGAAACATCAGTGGCTCCTTCAAGAGGAATACTGGGGAAGGCCAGCAAGTTGAGGAAGAGCAGGAAAGTGTCCGTGGAGTGCTTAAAAGACGAGTAGAAACCCGAGAGAGCACAGAGGAGAAGCTAAGGCAACAGGAGGCTGAGCAGATTGACTTCCGGGACATTTTGGCAAAGAAAGTTAACACCAAAACTTTTTCTGAGGAGGAGTTGAAGGATATCCCAGCCAAACAAATGGACTTCCGTGGTACCCTGCAACGGCAGGTCAAGCCGAAAACCTTGTCAGAAGAAGAAAGGAAGGTCCATGCTCCACAACAGGTAGACTTTCGTGGAGTATTGGCAAAAAAGGGCACTCCCAAACCTTCCTTACCAGACAAGGCAGCAGGTTCAAAGCCAAGCACCCCAGATTTTAGATCTGTGCTTGCTGCAAAGAAAAAAACACCAACTGAAAATGGTGGCCCTGGGACTCAAGTCCAGAATGTGAATGCCAACTCTGAAGTGCAGAAATCTAGTGCCACCAATAAAGTGCCAGATATCAGCATCACCTCTAAAAATCCTGTGACATCCAAGAAGTTGGACGCTGTCAATGCTACTTCTAAACTGCCAGAGACCAGCACTGTTTTGGAGTCCCAGGATACCAGCTCTAGGCATAAAATACAGAATGCTAGCACCAAGAATGAAAACCAAGTTACTAACTCCAGCTCTGAAATGTCACATGTTAAATCAAGGGAGAAAGAGAATAAGAATGACAGTAATTGCAAAGGTGACTACCCACCAGAAGTAGATGGACGGATAACTGAAGATAAAGGAAAAGATAACAAAATAGAGCCTGAGGGAATAGCACCATCCTTTACTGAAAAGCTACAGGATACCAAAGTAGTAGAAGGTGAAAAACTGGTCTTGCAATGTCAGGTATCCTCAGATCCACTTGCTACTATCATCTGGACTCTGGACGGCAAAGTCATCAAATCATCAAAGTTTATTGTTCTCTCCCAAGAAGGTAAATTGATGTAAACAGCAAGGAAACCCCATTGCATGCTGCTGGTTACAGCCTACTTCTTTGATTTCATTATTTTTAACTATGATATCTCACTCTAATTTTGTTTACTTCTATCCCTTTAATTGATTCAAAATTTGTCAGGATTTTGATTTTCTGCAAGGAGCAAAAAATAGTCTTTTTAAAACGTTTTCTTCAACTTAAGAAACATCAGGCAAATTTGTATTACAACAGTGCGTGTAAATTCAGATTTATGTTTTATATAAATATAAACTTCAGGTGAGGAACTCCTTCATAGCAATTGACTCTTTTCATTTTCGGTATCTAAATCCTGGCATAATTACCATATTAAACGAAAATTTTGCTTTGTGTTGAAATTGAAACAGCAGCAACTAATTGCTTTGGGATTTATATTGTTTAAACATGTTCTTTAATCCAGAATGAAACAAAATATAGGAAAATTAATTCCCAATTTGCTCTAGTTAAATATTAATTTACACTGATATTATTTATAATTTAGCTTCTACTATTCTACAAGGATATGAGAAGTCAATAATACTTAAACAATAAGCATATGCTAATTTCTTCAAACCTAAAGATTAAATTATAATGTAAAAGTTATCTAACCAAGTTCTAACTTCAGAAGTCAGAACATTCTTTGCCAAATATTAGACTAATCTTTACTTGGTCTATTGGGGAAATCCCGGGATTGCTAAAGAGCATGGTGGTTGGGAATTTTGGAAGTTATAGTCCCAACCATTTGAAAGGCCCAGGTTGAAGGAGGCTGAATTAAGACCCCCTTTTACATATACATTTTACATACATTTTAAGATGAAAGTGAATGCTCATGATGTAAAATAATTCTAGTTGTATTTATTTGTCTTGTGTTCTCTTCACTTTTTTTGTTTAACTATATGTTGCTCTTTTTCTGGTCTTTACATAACATGATCAACTGAAAGAAAGTAGTATAAAGGCTTTGTTTATATCTTGGAAGATGGGGGGAGAGAAATGATTGTAAATTGCCTCAAAAGGCATTGGAGCATAAAAGAGATATAATATACTGAAATACTTGAAGTGATAAGCCATGAACTAATAACAATATATTTTATAAGGTTTATCTTATATCTTACTTGAATTCTGCAATCGACATTTAAAATTGTCACTCACTACTGATATTGTGAGCTTGTGGCAAATAAAGGTATAAGGGATAAATTGTAATAATCACTATTTTAACAAAAATCAAAAATACATACATGGTTTTGAAGATAGCTTTTTCTTCCCAGGACCATGTTGCACTATATTTATTGCTGAGTTAATAACACTTTTGTCATTCCTCAACATTGGGTATGCTGGTTGCTGGGAATTATACTTCAATATCATTGGAGAATCACAGATTCTCCATATTAGCCACAGTTCCAGCTTAATGATTAGAGTAATTTTGGGGAAAAGTAAGATCAAGAGGGGATGGTTCCTTTTTCCATGGGTCTCTGTCCTCCCACTATCATCACAGTTAGCTGGTTGTCAGAGAAGTTGTAGTCAAATGAACAGCACTGGCTTTGATTCATCCTCCTGTGTACCACTGTTAGTGCCACTCATGGGCCCGTCCATTCTGTACCAATAGCACAGGTGAACAAGCACATAGGCAGAAACCTTGACAATGACGAGGAGAAATGGAGCTACAGCCAAAGCAGAGGTGGGGCCTTTAGAGGGTATGAATCTTCAAGACTACTTAGACCACTGTGTTGATTTAAACATTTCACTGTACTTGTGTTTCTGTTAGTTAACAGGAGGCAGAGAGTATCTAAAGGGCATATAGCAATAAGCTAGTTCTCATTCATCTATGCATGGTTTGGTGATAACAGATCTCTAAAAATATCATTGTCCTTGGCTCTCTTATTTTTATGCTCCCAAACATGTCTTCAAGTCAATTTTGATTCCTAGCAATGGAAGAGGACTAGAATTCAGTCTCTTACTTTCTATCCTGGAGCCTTTAACAACTACTATACCCCCAATTGGCCCTCCCTTGGGTTATTTTATCATATAAGTGAAGTCAAAGATATAGGAAGGACTAGGCCTTGTTTTTTTCTAGGCAGCTCTGTACCTATATTGCTTCATTCAGTGTCTGCACCAAATTATCAAGCCGTTGGCTATGATACTTCTAGGCTATCTTTCAAGGAACCTTTGAATATATTACAAAAAACAATGCAGAAAAATTGATAGAAATAATGGATTCCAGCATCTTAAACACCCAATCTTCCTAAAATTAAAATACAGATGTAGCAGAACCCAGAAGAGTCCAATCAAAGAGGGTGGAGGAAATTTTCTCCTGGTTTGCAATTGCATTGCAGTGCTTGAAGGCTTCAATGATTGAAAGTGAATCTATTGCCTAGACAATCAGTCAGTGAATTGCACCTGACTGACATACATATGGCAGTGGGATTTGAGGTACTGCCATTCCTGAAAACTGATGTGGAAATAAATAAATGTTAATGATTGCTATTTGTGTTGTTCTGCCCTGCATTTCAGGGGCATTGTTTATGACATACATAAAAATATACTGTGAACAGATTTGTCTAACTTGAATTTCCATACTGGTTTACAACAGCTTGGTTTTGAAAATCCTGATTTGTTAGTCCTAAAAGCTTGATATTCTTTAAAAATAAATAAACTTAAACTTAAAATAATGACTAAATTAATTTTTATAACTAGATTTTTACATGTGTCCTTTACCTGTTCTTGCATATGTACTTTGAAGCAATTAATTAATTTTACAGTTAACATTAATTTTAATTCCTATGAAGAACAGAGAATCTATCCAGTGAGGGATATAATCCCATACTCTTAAACTTTCAGCTAATCAATTTCTATTAATAGCAATTTAATTTTTTTATTAAAACATTGTTTCCTGTCATTATAAACTAAGTTAAATTTCTCCTGCTCAAATTTCTGAAGAATATATCTTCTGCTAATCTGATTTAAATAAAATATCAGTACGTAGCTCTAGAGTAAAGAGATCCTGATTTATTTTTCTCTATATATTATCATCAATATATTAATCCCTCTGTCAGGATTCTGGTAGTTACCCCAATTAAATCATGAGTCTTGAGCCACACTCCCAAAACTTCAAAGGATTTACTGGAAGTCAACAGGTCAGCATGACCTGGACGTAGCTGACTCTGAGACATGTAATTCACTGTCACCCTTGACTCTACTTTCCCCCCCACCCCTTTGGGTGTATCATAATTCATATTCTCCAATGAAACATGTCGATAGCCAAGAGTCATCAATCATGCTCTCCAATTAGATTTTTACGCGGCGGAAGCTTCAGTCATCTAATCAGTCTCTGAAAAAAATATGAATGGAATGTACTTTCGATTCCACACTGCTGCCTGCTCTTTGAAACTCCACCCCACTTCTTTCTGTTGACAACTATAAAATGTGTATGGAAAATGTTTTGTGTGTTGACATTCGGCTCCCCTCGCTTCTTGAAGGTGACCTGTACGACACACACAAAAAAACAAATTGATTGCAGGTATAGAAACTTATGCTCATTACCCCCACCCCCCAATGACCTATTTAATAAGTCCCTTAATAAAAGGCAACTTTTGAATATTTTGAATGTATAGTATAGGGAGAGCAAATGAGATCTAGATCAATTATTCCTTAAATAATACTTCAATTTAGAGCCATTCCTCTTGGTTTTAAGTATGCAGGGGTTGTCATAATTTTGTACATTTGATGCAATCTATATAACACCATTGTCCACTGTTTCATCTATGTTATTCTTAGAAACTATAAATTTGCTTAGGATGAATTGGGATTCACTTCATGCAATAACAGCACTAGAAAAAAGCAGTAAAATATTTATTTGACCAAGTTAGGAAGTCATCATTCTTTCACTGGTTTTAACTATTTACTTACCATATGCATGTGTGGATATTTAAAAAGCAATGATTGAGTTTGTTTTAATAACTATATTAATCTCTTAAAATATATTCTCACTATAATTTTTTTCTTATCCCAGAGTTATTCATTTGGCTTTGCTACTCTAATTTTTGCTCCGTTACAGATCGGAGTACAAAAAGCATTAGTTTCTACTTAGATGACCTTTGTAGTTTAAATAAGTACTGTGCCCGAAGCAAAAAATATAATTTAGTAACTTTAAGACATCAGTCATAGAATAAGGAATCCTGATTAAATGCTGAGCAGTGTATTCATAATTCTACAATTTTTACCCCATTCTTTAGCCAAAAAAGGCTGTCAGCATTCCAACTAACCAACTCCAAACCAATAAACTCCGAGACAAACATTTCCTCAAAGTTCCATTTTATTAGAGTTGTCATATTGGCACATCTGGGAAAACCTGAATCTGAGAGTTCCAGGTTTTCCCTTTCCAAAAGAAAATCAAAGATCCATCCCCTGCAATCCATCAGTCCATCGCATGGCCCAATCAAATCTTCGTTCCAAGTCACTCCCTTCCAGGTGCAGGGCAACATGTCCTTGAATCTCTGAGAAAGAATAATGTTGTGTTTAATCTTCTACCTCACTATTAATTTCCCCCTCCCAAATTCCCAGGCACTGAATAGGGCAGCCTCAAAACTTCCAAGTAAAAAATGGCTTCCAAGGCTGACAAAGGCAGCTTATAAAAATCAATAGTCAGATAACCCTGTACTTTAGCTAATGATAAGAAAAATAAGGAACATGGAACAAGATGGTAAGGGATGGACTGGGTGGTAATTTCATGAACTACATAGGAAATTTCTGATTCTGAGCATTGATCCAGCCAGCTCATTACTGATTAACAGTGGCTGCCCATGATAGGACTGCTTCCCAGTTCCTATACAGAATTGTCGGAATTTGAATCTGGTAGAGTAGTGCAAGTAAACCAACATCTGTTATTTCCATCCCATCAGATTTGGTATAGGAGGGAAAAAATTACAAGTAGTCCTTGATTTATGACCACAATTGGGACTGGAAATCCAATTGTAAGTCATTGGGGTCAT